TCAAGCAAGTAGACTACATTAGTTTCATTATAAATAAATTCTTGTGATCTTCCCCAGTTTAAAAAAATGTTTGTAGCCATTCTATCTTGTCAAATGCAGCAAAATTATTAGAGTCAAATAAATAAATAAAAACCCAGTGAATAATAATTTTTACCCTATCAAATTTAAAAAGATGAAAGCATATATTTGATAATTTCTATGCAGGTGTCAATAAGTGTGAAATTTTATCTGCACCATTAATTGAAAGTAAGCCTGTCACAAAACAATCATAATTGTGTTGAAATGCTACAAAGTGGCAAATTTAGACTATAGTTTGTGAAATTCTAAAATTGTCCTTGCATTAAAATTTACCTCAAACCATTACCTGTTATAAGTAGGCTAAAATTGGAAATTTCCTGCCAGCAAGCTGACAGCATGTCTTTTATTACATTTTTAATGTGTATTAAAATGGCTACAATTTATTGCTAATGATAGCGACTGAGACTGAAACAGTATGCTAAGGATTTCTGTGTTCTCATCGTCTTAAGTTGGATTTTATCTATTTAACTTCGCCAAAACTTTCGTTTCATGGTACAGTCAAACAAGTGTTAGTGACCATCTTTACATAAAGCCCATCTGCTTATAGTGCCCACTTATAGACAGTTTCTAGACCACTGTCTTTTTTTGCTCCGCTGTTGACTTTGTCGAGCGGAGCTTATCATATGAGTGATCGTCCGTCGGCCGTGTCAATGTTTTACTTATTCGACTTCTTCTTGAAAACTACAAGCCTGAATGCTTTGATATTTGGTGTATATGTACCTTGGGTAGACCTCTCTCAGATTTGTTCATTTCATGATCATATCTTCAATTCTCTAATTTTGGTGAATATTTTTGTCATTTTTGGTAAAAAGTGATATTTTCGGCTTTTTGTTAAAAACCGCAAGTCCAATTGCTTTGATATTACATATGTAGGTACTACATGTAGACCTCTCTTAGATTTGTTCATTTTGTAATGATATCTTTAATTCTCTAATTTTGGTGAATATTTTTGTCATTTTTGGTAAAAGTGATATTTTTTTCTTATTAAAAACCACAATCATTTATGATGAAAAATGATATTTTTGAAGTCCCATTGCATTGATACTATGCATATTGTTCATTTTCTAATGATATCTTCTGTTCTTTAATTTAAATGTGCATTGCTAACAGCCAAGAGGCTGCTTGTTTGTTTATTACCATTCTATTCATAAAAAATTTGCAGATATGATTTTGAACAATATTTGTTTAAATAACCATATAAAGATGACCAAATCTTACCCAAATATTGTTTTAGACACAATTGTATGGGCAAAAAGACCCTACACAAGACTAAGGCTAAAGTAGTCACCATTTTGTTGAATTCAGTCATGTGATGGCTCATAAAAAATGTCATGCATGACACACACTATTATGGTAAATAACATACAAAATCATCAGGAAAGTCCATCAGAGAGGGGCTTAGCCGCTCAAGGTGGCGAAGCATTTGACATTTCACTCAGGGTAAGCTGTCATTTTGTACCATAATCTCAGAGGTTCATTTAACAAAACAATGTTTCAATAGATAGACCATTTTTTTCCCCATTTGCAATGATTTTAATGAATTCCCTTGGATGGTTGGTATACATGTAGGTTTGTGTGTGCTCTGGGTGGTCTGTATACACAGGTTTGTGTGTGCTCTGGGTGGTCTGTATACACAGGTTTGTGTGTGCTCTGGGTGGTCTGTATACACAGGTTTGTGTGTGCTCTGGGTGGTCTGTATACACAGGTTTGTGTGTGCTCTGGGTGGTCTGTATACACAGGTTTGTGTGTGCTCTGGGTGGTCTGTATACACAGGTTTGTGTGTGTTCTGGGTGGTCTGTATACACAGGTTTGTGTGTGCTCTGGGTGGTCTGTATACACAGGTTTGTGTGTGCTCTGGGTGGTCTGTATACACAGGTTTGTGTGTGCTCTGGGTGGTCTGTATACACAGGTTTGTGTGTGCTCTGGGTGGTCGGTATACACTGGTTTGTCTGTACTCTGGGTGGTCTGTATATACAGGTTTGTGTGTGCTCTGGGTGGTCGGTATACACAGGTTTGTCTGTACTCTGGGTGGTCTGTATACACAGGTTTGTCTGTACTCTAGGTGGTCGGTATACACAGGTTTGCCTGTACCCTGGGTGGTCGGTATACACATGTTTGCCTGTACTCTGGGTGGTCGGTATACACAGGTTTGCCTGTACTCTGGGTGGTCGGTATACCCAGGTTTGTCTGTACTCTGGGTGGTTGGTATACACAGGTTTGTGTGTGCTCTGGGTGATAAGTATACACAGGCTGGTCAGTATAAAGAACCTGTTGGTCAGTATCTTGGATTCTGATTTATTGAAAGCTAAAGGATTTTAATGACAACTTGAATGCTTTAATGCAACAAATACAAGATCTGAACAAATTTCAAATTATGTGCATACATGTATTAATCAAATCATGTTTTATTTACAACTTAACTTTCAAATACACAAAAAGCATATACTGTATATATTTTTGATGGAAATAATTTTTGAGTAAAGATGTTGTATGTTGCTATGCAACCATGCGTAGCAATTCTGTCTATTCTAACATTAATACATCTATCAAAATCATCATTTAGTTACTTATTTTGTAAAAGAACATCTGTATAAAATAAAAACCTTCTTTCTGACCTGATTTCTGATTGCAGATTATACAAAAAGTCAACCTAATCTTGATCCCCTGCCAATTTAGATGATTTTCTTGTGTTAAAAGTGTCTTCATTATGGACTAATTCATTCTTCTCAGGATTGGAAGCTTATCTAATTTTGAAAATTCTAATTTTTGTTGTGCCCTTAAAGATGTAGCTCTCTAAGATAAAATAATGCCTTGAAAAGGTTTTTAAGAATGAAAATAACTCGCCCACCCCTCTGGATAAATAGAATAGTCTAAATTGCTCTGAGGCATATTGTGAAAAGAGTTCTGTGCATACAAGTATTACTAATGGATGCCGACAAATTTATTATGTAGTAGTTTCCAATGAGTCAGATTAGCTTTCATGACAAAAGCAGAGTAGAGAAAATATACCTGAACAAATCTTGTGTGCAATGTAATGTCGAAGCGGTCAACTTTTTTTTCAGCATGCATTTGTCTTGGTTGAATTGTCTGTTTTGGCACATTCTGCTGTCATGTTTTTTTGTTTTTTTTGAATTATCAGGTTATTGGTATTGTTAAAAATATTATAGAAATATTATATCAGTATTTCAATCTAGAGATGATTGTAGACTAGAATTGTGCGATAGAATTTACACTGTGCATGAATGCTTTTCCCTGTTTTTTTTTTTTAAATTTCAGTATTTTAGTCTTGCATCAGATGGAAAGTGACTTCCTGTGTAAAAGATTACTTTTTAGATTTGATATTTTAGAATTAGAAATTTGGCAATGCATTTGAACTGCTCTTTTCCTTTGATTAGAACCTGACACAATGCAATCTATTCAACTCACTGTGAAATCACTCAGTACCAAACGATATTATCACTAAGGGTCAACGTACTGTTTTAAAGCTGTTAACGTATATTGATTGGCATGTTAATATCGGACTGCTGTATATATTATCAATTCTATAAATAAATAATATCACCTTCAAATAGTGGATCACTGCTAAATCTGATAAAATCCTACCTGATTTGTATGCTAAATATCTACTTGACTGCTGTCTTTTCAGTAAAAATTCACCATTTTCATTTCACACAGAATCAGGATATTCTTGTTAATCATTTGGATACTATTTTTAAATTTCCACAAAAAGTTTGCTTATTTTTATGTATTTTTTTCATAATTTCTTTTTTAATTTTGGTAAAATATTTTTTTAATATCATTGTGAAATAAAGCAGACTGATTTATCATATTTTATTTAAGCTGGAACTAATTTTGCTGAAAAGACTTTTTTGGGTGTTATGTATGGAATTTCATTTTCACTGATTTTTGACCAGTTCAATGTAAAATATAAGAAAATGGTATATTCGCTGGATTTTATTTTCACTGAATCATCCCTTCAGTGAAAATAGCGAAAATAAAGTTTTTTACAATAAATTAAAAATGTTTTTAGGACCCAAGCTAATATTTCCTGTTGAATGCCACCTTTTGTTTCATATTGTCGAACAGTTTTTGTTAGTTGACAAATCCAACCCACCAATACACATATGTAGTGATTGTTATTGTATATATTAAAACAATCAGTGCACATGTGTATTATAAAAGGTTAATTTTTCATCAACAAAACTCTAATATAGCGTTTTCATGCTACCGGTATGATGTCATCATAATTCAATGTATTTATCAACAAACACTAATATTAAAAGTTACATGTTCTTGTGTATATTGCATCTTTAATCAGAATTTTTGGAGGGTGAAAAAAAAGTCAACTTCAGTTGTCAATCATATTAATTTGAGGTAAACTATGGAGAAAACGACCATTCTTTGCTATTGAAATTGGTTTGCTTATTGGTTTAACATTAAACTGACATTGATTGTTATTGGTTGAAAAAAAAATATTGTAATTACTGTTGCTCTACCCAGTTAAACTGATTTTAAAGAGAACTATTTTTTAACCTTATTATCTTTAAATTGAAAACTAATTGGACCTTTATTTATTAGGGAGGCAGGTTGCTTGCTAAATTAATCAAATTCACAATGTATTTATTTCCATTCAATTGAGCATTCTGTTAGTCTTCTTTTTTATGTCGCTGTATATATGCTAATCACTGAGCTAGGTCAAACCAATTGACCTTACTTTTCTAAGATAAGATGTCTGCTGCCCTCACCAGTTTGTTGAGTGGAAATATGCTTTTTGACTCTGGTGGCAGTATTTGCTTAAACCAGATGCAAGTCTTGTTGAATTGATAATACTTTGAATTATATCAATAATATAAAGTTACTAAATAATTACTAAATTATTATATAAATATGTTTTAACAACTTATAAATTTGTTTGATTACAGTGCTAATGCAGCCGGAAGTTCAGATAAATTAGATGACACAACAGAAACAGAATCGGTTAGCAGTTCAAGAAGAGGTAAGATTTCACAAACCATCAAATATTGGCAAACTAAACTTTTCTTGCAGGTGTTAAGTTTGCAATTATAAATATGGTAACAGTGTTTTTATTTTTTGAAAACACCAATAGTTGATAGTACAATGCAATGTTTTGTGCAAGGACGTGTGAGAGCCAAGGAAGGAGTACAAATTATCTATTTAATTATTTGTGGAAACAATTTGGCAATCTGTTACATTAAAACGTTATAAGGGATATGTGTGCAGGGAGAAGTAATGAAAATAATGAAAGCATGCACAAAGCGTCTATCCATTGTATTTCAAAAACATTTTGCTGAAAATTTTATTTTATGGTTTAGAAATTGGTAAAAAACATGTTTTGAATAAAAATGCAGACTTCTGATTGTCTGGTTGTTGATATCTAAGGCCACTCTTGTTGGACATTCTTGACTGGATAGGGTGTGTGACTGTACCCAATATGAGGAACGTATTCATATAAACATTTCAAGTTTTCTCTTGAATGCATTACATCCAACACAAACACCAAAAGAAAAGAAACAATTGAAGTAGCTCTTGAGATAGCAACAGTGTAACATTCAAGACATGAAATCAAATCTAGCAAGGTGGGTTCTATATGACTGCAAATGAACGGGTGATGACAGGTATTCTGTGTTTTAAGATGGTATGAAGTGGCATAAATGGTGCATAAACCATGCCTGTATGTGGTATGTGTACCACTAGAAACGCAAATTACCACTCTTCCCATAACCTAGGTATTATAAGTAGCCATGAATGAACATGGTACATGCCCACTTCCATGAAATAAACGTAATACTAGAATAAATATGTCCCTAAGAAAGCAGGATTGATTCATAGTTTGTTTTTAGTGGTACTGTATTTTATCTTTTACAAATATAAATAACAAATGGGCACAAGTCCTATATAGTGAATGGCAAATATATTGACAGTCTGACAGTCTGATAGTTTCAGGGAATTTATAGTGACTCAATTTATCACAATTCACCTGTCTGAAAATCTTCAGTAATATCTCTGACTGCAGTAATATGATGACTGCAGGAAAGGATGCCTAATGTGGTATTATTCAACTACATTATTTCAATTTCACTAGAATTATAGACAGACATTTCTTTTACAATAAAGGATGTATAAGGTAAGAGTATACAACTAGTGTGATAAAGGATGATGATCCCATTCAAGTCATGTGATTTTGATGATGATCATTATATTAATGCTAGTGACTGTGAAACAAGTGTTTATTTAAGCATTCCTGTGTCATGAAATGCATTTAATTTTTTTTCTATTTGTTGAATGTGGTGACAATGTCACTCATTTCTGTCTGTGCACTTATTGCATTTTGTAATGCCTCACATAGTATGGTATCTTGTTACGTTCATGGATATCTAAGTTACATAAATACCTGTACTTGTGAGTCCTTGTAAATACATTACTTTTATTTGCTATGGTTGGATTACTGAACTAGTATAAATTGACTGTTTCAAAATTTAGAGAGTGGCAGATGTTTGCAAGTTGGTAAAAATTGCATAATTTTGTCGCAGTGAAATTTCATTGGTGTTGGAAAGACACATCTGCTACTCCCTGTAACACAAAATGTTGTTCTCATTTAACCAACAAATCATCAGAAAACATAGGTTGATTAGTTTTTGTGAGAAATGAGCCAAAAGCATATAGAGTCAATAATTTTCCTATCTAAAAATCCATTGTCAATTACAAATGTTGGCGTATTAGGAATTATGGTTTTATTTTGGTCTAATTTATTGAGAAATTAGGAAGGAAGTTATTTGGAGACTTTATGATGTTATTCATTGGGGAATTAGACAAAAGTTAGTTGTCACTCTCAAAAAGTACACTCCAGTATTTCATGTTAAATGCTGCCTTCTGTTTTGTATTGAGTACAGTGGTTGTTATGGAGACTGTAGTCAAGTGATATTGCTTTCCCCTGGCGGAGGTCAAATACCAATATACCGTTTTCAGTAACTGAGATCTGGAACTTGTGCATTACACTGTGCCTTGGTGAACCTATACTTTATACTTGTACACTGTATTATTTGATTTCGATTTTTTTTCGGCAAAAAATACATGCACAAAATTGCAAAAAATTCAATCCATAATTTGAGGTAATGATGTAAATAGCGCATGTTTTATGTTGTGAGATCTCTTTCCATTTACTGATGAGCCTCTATTTGGGTGACTTGTTCTCAGCTCATGTACATGTATGTCATACCACAGACTGATGTTGACTCCCTAGCACTAAGACTGATGTTTACTCCCTGGCACTAAGACTGATGTTTACTCCCTGGCACTAAGACTGATGTCGACTCCCTAGCACTAAGACTGATGTTTACTCCCTGGCACTAAGACTGATGTTGACTCCCTGGCACTAAGACTGATGTTGACTCCCTGGCACTAAGACTGAGTTTACTCCTGAGCACTAAGACTGATGTTGACTGCCTAGCACTAAGACTGATGTTGACTCCCTAGCACTAAGACTGATGTTGACTCCCTAGCACTGAGACTGATGTTGACTCCCTAGCACTGAGACTGATGTTGACTCCCTAGCACTGAGACTGATGTTGACTCCCTAGCACTGAGACTGATGTTGACTCCCTAGCACTGAGACTGATGTTGACTCCCGAGCACTAAGACTGATGTTGACTCCCTAGCACTGAGACTGATGTTGACTCCCTAGCACTGAGACTGATGTTGACTCCCTAGCACTGAGACTGATGTTGACTCCCTAGCACTAAGACTGATGTTGACTCCCTAGCACTAAGACTGATGTTGACTCCCTAGCACTAAGACTGATGTTGACTCCCTAGCACTAAGACTGATGTTGACTCCCTAGCACTAAGACTGATTTTGACTCCCTAGCACTAAACCTTAAAAAAAGTGATAAATAGTTTGTTCAACTGAGCATACATCTATTGAAATGTTATGATAATTTATAAAACATATTTCTTATTAATCTTATAAAAATTGTGTATATTCCCATTACACTCAGTTTCATGAAGGCATGTTTTTTATATAAAATGTTTGATAAATTTCAAATTAAAAGCAACTTATCAATCAAAATTTGAGGCACTTCATTTTCGCCCAGATCAAATTCAAAATGGCCAAATGGCCTTTTTTTATTTATTTTTTAATGCAATTTAATAAATACAGTTCTAGAGCCTTATCTCTGACATGCTTTGACATGCTTTGACTAATCACCTTCAAACTTTATAGACACAACTTGCATCATATTCCACATATGTACATTTGCCTTGACTGATTGTAATCAAACTTTACAACTATACAACTACATCGTGCATCATTTGTTTGAAAATTCTGATTCAATTACTTTTGAACCAATAGAGATTCTGTTATGTTGTGACACAACTTGTTACTTTCAAGCTGTTGTTTGAAAAAAAGTCATATTGTGAAGTTTAGCATATGTCGGGTTAACTTTGGATCATCCAGCCATTTTTACTAACCCCCCCCCCCCCCCCCCCCGTATTTATTTTGACAGCCGCCAAGTAGACCCCATTTAACATAAACAAAGATTACATTGAACTGATACATAAATACTTGATACATTATTTTGCTACAAGGGGACTTCTACTTCTTGTTTTGTACTTAATTTTACAGACTTGTCTTCTTTATTGATGTATTGTTTTGAATCTGCACAGAATTTGTAGCATGGTTGACACTAGTAATGGTAGTAGGATGTACTTCCTGCTAGAGATCATATTGTGCTTATAAAGTATGTTTTAAAAGTGTGTAGCTTCTACCAGAGTTGGTGTTAAAACAAAAATATGATTGGAATAATCCAATAATGCAGATGTAATAATGATTCTGTTTCTTTATTAAATGTGTTTTGAGCATGTGTGTTTTAAGACATATTGCCAATTAAGCTAGTATGACCTCTACTTTAAAGTGTAACTGAATTGGGCCAATTGACTTCTTTTGTGTGCAAAATATACTTATAAACAACATTATGAAAAAAAATCAAGTGCAAGTGGGTATATAAATTGGGTAAATAGTCAATGATATTCCAAAATTGGGCCACGCCCCCCTCTCCCATCACCTTCGAGTTTTTTCAGCATTACGACTGTTGCCGAAATGGCGCCTCCAACGGGACCATAAAGCAGGAGATAGCTAGCAGACAGGATTGTTTACCATTTTTCCCATACGCATGTGTTTTAGTAAACCAGCATATACAACGAGCTACCACGATCGTTATCATGGGCAAACGCTGTGTTGTTGGCAGGTGTAGCAACACACACGGCAATCGCGTAAATCTTTATGCGTTCCCAAAAGATTCAAGTTTATGACATCAATGGACCAAAGCTGTCAAGAACACCAGGAAATATTGGGATGGACCTTCTCCTTATAACGTTATCTGCAGTGCCTATTTTTATGTCTGAATCATTTATCAGTACAGTTTCATTTGTTTCGAACTTGCAGTTGTAGGTATTCGTCCTACCGGAAATAGAACAATAAAAATAACAACGTTAAGATTTTCGGTCACGATGTTCAAACTCTGTGCCTGTGCCTGAATCGTCACAGTCATTTTGGGAAGGTACACGGTCACCCACATCGCGTACTTTTCTCGCCAATTTGTCCCTGGCACTCTAAAACAAAATCATGACATCTCTCGTTGTCATCATATTCCTCGATCTCATAACTCTCGTCAGGCGATAAGATAGATTCCGTGTCACTTTCCGAGCACTGCATGCGTATAGCGGCCATTGTGAAACGATGACAAATTCACCCCAGTGACGTCACAAATCACCCTTGTATGCTAATTAGGTTATCTGAGTCGGCCAAGAAATTGGACGTGGGTGTTTTATTATTGATCGTTTATTTAATTTATGGACATTTTTTCATAATGTTGTTTATAAATAAATTTTGCACTTTATATCCTAAGCCTCACTGTCTTAAACAAAACACTAATAATGGAAAGGGATACAACTTAAGGATAGAATTTTAAGTGTTTTGAAT